AGCCTGCAAAGCTAATAAGTAAATGGAATAAAGACTCAAATCTGGAACTCTCAATTGGACACAGGATCTTTTCCTAATTTTTTCAGAGCTGGATTCTATCTCTGAAACCAAATACAACTAATAAGGCAGCAGGCATGCTGTGATCAGAAACGCTGAGTAAACCTCTTAGGCTAGATTAGAGCATTAGGTTGTAATGGTACATAAAACAAAAAAACACACAGCAGCAGATTACAGTGATTCTGGAGTCCCAGGCTAAGTACATGCCCTTTTGAGCCAGGAATTCATCAAAGCATAATGAGAAACTAACTTATTATAAGCAGGGCAGCGAAGTCACATGCCGGGCATCTGAAGTCACATTAGCCAACAGTTCCCCAGAGTCTCCACTAGAGAAGAGTCAGGTTAAAAGATCAAACTCCATATACACAAAACCACAGCACAAACCATGTCTTCCTTCTCAGATACAGAAGAGCAGAGAAGAGGAGGTAGTGGGGGCTGTTACATTTTGTGAAGATGAATAAGCCAGAGTGCAATCAGGGTGACAGACTCTTTATGACCTTCATAAACCAAATTACAGTCTAAGGAGTTATGATTATAATCGTCAAAATGTTGCCACAAAAGCATAATGTGCTGTAAATTAGCAATTTATATAATTTCCACAAAAATCGTTGCCTGCGTGCTAGGCACTGCACTACATGCTTTTATGTTATTTCATTAAATTGTCACAATCACTGCACGAGGTATTTTCCCCAGTTTACCAAACGAGGAAATGGAAGCTCAAGTTAAGTGAGTTTCCTAATGTCACGTAGCTAATAAGTTGTGGGTGAAGCAAAGATTTGAACCTAGATCCAAAACAAGTACTGTATACAAATACGTTTAAAAAAATTTTGGAGCCAGGCACAGTGGCTCATGCCTGTAATTCCAGGCTGAGGCAGGAGAATCACTGGAGCCTGTAAGTTCGAGGCTGTAGTGAGCTATGATTACACCACTGCACTCCGGCCTGGGTCACAAAACAAGACTCTGTCTCTTTAAAAAAAAATTGTATCAACGAATTAAAACCGGAAATGATAAGAAAATGTACTGACCCCTAACTTAGGTGAAAATAGCTTGGTACTCCAACATTTCCATAATCTGCAATTTTTTTCTCTTTATCTACCACTTACCTCATGCTCTGGTCTAGCCTATGAGATTCATTCAGTATTGTCTGATGACAACTGGTACTCTCTATCCTTGCTCGTTCTATTTCACCTAACGCAAGTGCTGGCTTCCACTGTTCCTCTTCCTAATGAATTCTTACTCTTTATTCAACATTCATCTTAAATGCCACCTTCTCCCTGAAGTCCCTCCTCATCACCCCAGTTAGAAGGGATCTTTACATTTCCTCTCTTCC